CCCCGAACCTCTTCCCAAAGATCCCTTAACCTCCTTTAAACATTTTCAAGAAATAATCTCTTCAAAAACCGACCCTTTTCTAATTAATTTCGTCTTGGACTAATTGTTCACCCAAATTAAACCTTCTTAAAATTCCAGATAATAATTTTCACATGTTGATCATGAGAACCTATATCATGGAAAATTACCAAACCCTTAAAAATACATCGGCATTATTTTTATTTAATTAAAATCAACATTTAACCAATGTTTAAATTAGTAATCCATCTTCAAAAATCCTCAAATTAAATTACAGGCATCTCCTAGACCTTGCTCAATTTATAGAATTGCTAAACTCACAAAACACCACATGAAGAGGCTCGAAAGAGTTTAAACATCTTAAAACACGTTTTTGGAACTTTCCTGCATCTTTAGTGACTACCCAATATCTGTCACTAAGAGTTTGTAGTCCATTGCTATAACCCAAAATTGCTCTCTTACAAAAAATCACCAAATCAATCGATCTAACCTGAAGAGGTCGAGTTCCCTTACCTCTAGACGGGCCTAGGACTAGATCAGATGGCTCGGGACATTGATCTCCTCGTTGATCGATGTTTGAACTCTCAAACGTCACCGCAAACGCTATAGTATAAAAATAAAAACTTCGAATTAGACTATCGATGAATCGAGTTTGCAATCGTGAAAGATTTCGTGATCCTTACCAAGGAATCCTTTGGGGAAGAAATTCCCAAAACCTTGCTTGGAGAAGAAACACCTAGCTTTTCCACTTCTTTGGTTTGTCACCTTCTCACTCTAAAATATGACGAATGAGAAGTTTCTCACTCTAGGTCTCTCTCCCCTTTTCTTCTTCCTTTCAGCTTTCCTTTTAAGTGGGAGATCACACCCAGCTCACGGCCTGAGTTCACGGTCGTAAACATTGAAAGGCGTCCGTGAATTCAGTGCCATCACCAAAACGCAATGCTTCATTTACTATGGTTCACGGTCTCAGCGACCGTGAACTGCCTAGGCGTCAGTAACTTTAAATCCCTCTCTGTTTGCTCCTCGCTTCACGGCAATGGCTCCAGATCACGGTCCTGTAAGACCGTGAACTCCAACATCTGGCCGTGAACTGCGACTGTCTCCACCTCTTTGCCAGGTCTTTGCTCCTTTTCTTCCAACTTTCGACTCCGGATTTGATTTTACCTGTTAAGATCTGAAATACACTAAAACACAAGCAACCTCGCTTGAAACCAACCTTTTTAGAGTTCAATTGCAACAAACCTCTAAGAAAATCGAGAATAAAAAGTGTACAATTAGGCCCGAATTAGGGTCAGGAACCAGGGAGGCGACAGTGGGGAAGGAACCGGCGCTCCCCTTATATCTTTTCTTTTCCTCCTTCTTCCTCTCGCAGCGATAGTGTTTGTCGATCAAACATGCGTGAGGGAGGGGATTGATGTGAAATGTTGGAGGGGGAAATAATTCAGGGCTGCTCGGCCCTGGCCCTCCTGTATATATAATTTTTATTTTATTTTATCATAAAGTAATAATAGTTATTACTATTATTCCTAATTCGTGGTTGCAATCCTTCGTACGTAACCATCAATCTAACCGTTCATTTGTTGTGGTCGAAACTAAATCAAAATATCGGGGTGTTACATTTGTAGTCACTTTAGCTTTAAATAACCAAAAATTGTTTTGCTAGATAACAACTTAAGCAATTGAAGTATGGGTACATGGACCGGTCCGGGTTTAACAAGTAAAACATACTTTCCCTATACTACACCCGGCTAGAGTTTATACTTGGGCTCTAGTCGGAATTTAATTAGCGGCGTATCTGTGGTGAGTCAGGCTTTCTAGTTGGTGAGTTTTTGGTCAATCCTATCAATGGTATACTTTTAAGTGACTTTGGCGATTCGACCATGGATCACAGGGACGCCAAGGTATCTCCCAAGATCCAGGATTTCTTGAATCCCAACTCTCTTACAAATTTCAGTGAAGTTCTGCTTCTTAACATTTTTGGAAAAAAACACTCTAGATTTCTCCTTGCTAATAGCTTCACCCATGGCTTCACAAAAACCGTCAGGGCATTTGAGACAATATTAGCTTCTTGGGGGGTGGAATAAAGTAGGACCCCCTAGTGACAGCTTATTAGGGTTCCAGTTACTATTCCTAACTTCATAATCAATGCAGTGACTTAACCTTTTAACACAAAGAGTAAATAAATTGGGAAAGAGGGGGCATCCCTTTTCTAAGTCTTGTGGTTTGCCTGAAACTGTCAGTTTCTCCTCCATTCCATTGGACTTGGTATCTTGTAGAGGTCACACATTCCATTATCGGTTTGATGATGCTTTGAGGTAGCCTTGCATCTTTAAGTATTTCTTCAAGGAATTCCCACTCGATTCTGTCATACGCTTTAGCAAGATCCCCTTTCAGGACCATAAAGCCCTTCATTCAACTTTTCCTTGCAATTGAATGGATGGTTCCTGCAAATTATTATTATTATTATTATTATTATTATTATTATTATTATTAGGGAATGAAACTGGATTGGTTTTTATTAACAAGCAGATGAGGCATCAGTGGTTGCAGCTTGTTAACAATCAGTTTTGCCACCACTTCAACCCAAAATTGCAAACGCCAATAGGTCTTAACTGGCTCATCGAGGAGGGGGTTTCCACTTTGGGAATCAAGGTAAGAAGGGTCTCATTGATGCATTGAACTCTGCTAGGGTTCCTAAATCAAAAGGAGATAAACACACAAAAGTTTCTACCCACAGAATTCTAACATTTCTGGTAGAAAATTGCATGAAATCTGTCTTTTCTTGGGGCCTTAAGTTCATTCATGTCCATAATCACTTTTCTTATATCCTCGTGACTAGGGATAGAGGCCATATTAGCCATAAGACATCTATCCAATTCAGGGAAATTAGTTGGGATAATATGCCTAGAAACCAAAGTGCTCTTAGTAAAAAGTTGGAGAAAAAATTCCCCTGCCATGAAGAGGAGCGTGTTAGCATCATCAATCCATTTTCCCTTATCATCACGAAGGCAAGTGATCTTGTTCCTCTTTCTTCTACTAAGGGCACTAGTATGAAAGTAGCGTGTATTCAGTTCACCATACACTACCCAATTAGTTTTGGGGGTCGTTTGGATGAGGTATTAGAGTGAGTTATTTGGGTCCAAATAACTCGTTTGGCAGCATTTTACTCAAATGAGTTATTTGGGTTGTGAGTTATTTACAAATAACTTGAAACGAGATATTTTGAAATTACTCGCTTTGCCTCTCTGTGTTTTCCAAATACCACATATGTATGGTTCTATTAAATGAGATATTTTAATCTAATTACCACTAAAATAACATAAAAATACCACGTGAACAATTAAGGAGCTATTTGACTTCACAAATGCCATATTGACAATTAATTCATCCAAACGACTCCCTGGACTTTTGGATTCACAGCATCTCTTATTGCCAGAGAGTAAGCTCCAGTTCCTCCCAGGTTTGTTTTTCCGTGTCAATCGACTTTGTCGTTGTGCTTCTTTCATTGATCATCTCGAAGGACTTGAGCTCACACAACAATTTCTTCTTTCTTTGGAATATATTGCTATAAACTTCCTTGTTCCATTTTTGTAGATCTTCCGATAGATGCTGCAAAGACAGGAGGAAATCCCCTCCACATTTTCAGGAACAAGATAAAAATGAAGGGAAGTTATCAAGGCTTGCTTCCTTCTTGTCCTCATCATAGGTTCGCACAAGAACAAATGGCTGACATCTTTGGCAAGACCCTCGACCTAAACACCAAGGTGATGGTGAATCAAGTTGTCAAAGATGACGTGTCTCAAATGACCGCTCAACACGCTCTCGAGCATTATATGTTAATGGCTTCCAAGTCTTGAAACTGATCGTGGAAGACTGCTTCTACGATAGTAAAAATGGTACAAGGTCCAGATGACTCACTCGCCAACATAGCATAACAAATTAGTGCTAAGGAGGTACAAGCACTTAAAATGACTAAAAACACATATGCCGCACAACTCCTTGTTTGAGAACTATATGGCGAAGATGGTCATGATGGGAACACTTACGGGGCTAACTCATCCATATATAGGGGTGGGCAACGGGACGGGACGGGTATCCATATCCCAAACCCCATTTGAAGAGCAATCTCCATCCCATATCCCAAACCCGTACAGGTTAACGGGTATCCATTACCCGTACGGGACGGATAACAGGTACTCATACTACCCGTAAATACCCGTCCAAATTGGTGGAGCATAATTAAAACTACAATCAAGCATGAAATGTTATTGAATTAAACTCGAATTCTCTTCACCCTATCCAAATAGGAAGTTTTGTCCAACCAATCATCATCCTCCAGGTCTTCTCCACATAAGCTCAAATCCTTGATTCATTAGATTGGAAAAACTCCTACCTTCACCTGTTTCAAAACTGCTTGCCCAGTAACCTCAAATCAAGAATTCCACCAAGCTAAACATTCATCAAAACTATCACAGTAAAGCTTAATTATCTGGAGATGGAGTTTCGTGGAGTGCTTAGAGTGTGCTGTGGATGTGATCAATTTGACGGTAAAAACCTAAGCTATAAGAGTAAATGGGTTTTGGATTTTTAGACTAATGGGTATAACGTGTACCCGTAATACCCAAACGGGTATTAACAGGTAACCTAGGAGTATCCAAAATAGCAAATCTTCATGACTTCATCCCAAGTCTCATCCCACACAAAAAAAAAAAAAAAAAAAAAACGGGTATTTGATTACCCGTAACTCTCAAAAAATGATACGAGTACGAGTATGGGTAAACCCAAATAGTTGTCCACCCCTATCCGTATATGACCCGTATCCGCTATATTCTAGATTTTTCTTGAGCCAACCAGACGAATTCTGATACGGCAGCACTGACGCAACCTCATAGCCCAAGCAGCGCGTACCGCTAACTTTAGTACTGACCTTCCAGCTGTTAACTAACCTACGCCATTACAGTATCCTACGCCAGGCACCATCTGTTTTTATTTGTATCCCAAAACATTGCTGCAATGGCAATTTTCTGACTTCCCAGGAACGTAATCACGATACGGCCACACAACCTTCGCCCCTTGCACAAGAAAAGACTCAAGTTTGGATTTTTCAGGTAAAAGATCGAAACTTTCCTCTGGGAAGAGGTCGATTGTCGAATTTTTCTTTATGGGGAAATGTTTCGAGGTTCCGAATGTTCAGAGAGCAATTTCACGATCATAGGTCGTCTTGTTCGGAAATTGAAGTTTTTGGTTTTATGCCTACCTATTGGATCGTGAACTTCGTAGATTCTGAGCTTGTTGCCTTGTATAGAAGTTGCAGAGTTTCTCTGGGTTTGGCTTGTTAACTGTAGACGTTCGAGGGTTTTTTATTATGTAGCAAAGTATTATGAATTGTAATTTTTGCGATTCTTTACGAAGGATGCAAGAAGCGGAGAGCTTGATCAATGTGACGGTGACATGGAGAGGTAAGAGGTATGAGGTGGAAATCGATGCTGGCGCGTGTCTCAAGGACCTTGGAGACGAACTTCGCACCTTGACTGATGTCGAAGCGGATACTATGAGGCTTATTGTTCCACAGGGCAAAACCTCAAAGCTTCTGTCTCCTTTCTCTGACGAGCATTCTCACATGACTTTGCTAGAGGCCTCCATTTCCGGGGTACAAGTAGTATGTGCTATGTGACATTTTGTTATTCGTTTTTCCCCCCTGTAATGAGTTTCGTCCAACACCAATTGTTTTCTGTTGATGTATTTCAGGAGAAGATTGTTAGGATGATGGGAGTGTTCAAGGATGAAGTCGATAGAGTCTTGCAGAATGCAAAATCCGACATGAGAATTGCTGGTTTTGAAGAGGAGGAAAGGAGAATGAGACAGCGAATGTCGGTTGGACGACCTTTGTCTCTCAAACTTCCACAAGGACCTTACATTTTTTGTGATTTTCGCACTCTTGCCATTCCAGGTCTCGAGGTACGGGAATAATGGTTTGCTGCTTATGGTTTCATGTTGCCCTTCGAAAAGAGATCTGAATACTCTGAAAATATGCTTGTGTCGTAGGTTTGATAGCTTTACTTGTCTCTTGGTTGAAACCGGAAGAGAATGAGATGTTATTATATTTGCCAAGTTCTATGTGAAGTCTCTCAAATTCAACTTTATTTGACCTTGGGATCACTTGCTACAGTTGAATCCTCCACCTTCCGAGGCATTGAAAAGGATGCACATGCTTGCTGCTGATCCTGGAATTGTTGCTATAATGAACAAGGTGCCACCATTTTAAACATTTTTTTTTTCAAACAAGTGTTCTCTCTCAATCAAATGCTATAGTTGTCGAGTTTGATCCATTTGTTGTAAGTAGCATCGTTGGCGTGTGGGAATAATGACCGAGATGGCTCCTATTGGCTATGTTGGCATCAGCCCCAAATGCATCCTTGGTTTCAATAAGGTAATGGCTCCTCAACAGCAATGGAGTTCAAGATAATGTTTCTTTGGGAAAATGTATGTTCGTTTTAATTCATGCGAGTTTTGTTTGCTTTTTCAGAATCATGGCGAGGAGATATCACTGAGGCTTAGAACTGATGATCTCAAAGGTTTCAGGAAATATGACAGCATCAAGAAAACCCTTTTGCATGAACTTGTTAGTCACTCTTTCATAACCTATATTTTTAGTACTGGATCTAGTTAACATTCTCACCATCTGTTGTTTTTCTGCTACTTCAGGCTCACATGGTATACTCGGAACATGACTCGGACTTTTACGCTCTAGATAAGCAGGTGAATGGATCATCAATTTGCCGACTTTTTGTTCATTGTAACATTTTCTTGGCACCATTTGTTTCTGTATGGCTTACTTAATTTTTTTTTTGTCACAGTTGAATCAAGAAGCTGCCTCTTTGGATTGGACGAAGGCAAAGGGTCATACTTTAACTAGAGTCAGCCATTCTGCTGATTATGAAGAAGAAGACTTTGATGTTGCAAACTACCGCAATTCTTCTCAGAAAGTGGGAGGAAATGTATCAGACCAGTTTACCTCTGCTCGTGCATCTTCAGTAGCTGCTGCTTATCAACGTTTAGCAGATGCTTCCATGTCATCTGAAATGGAAGAACCAGACCCTGATGACGATATTGACAGTGCAAGTGCACAAGAGATTGATAGGGTAACCATTGATGAGCCTGATCCAGATGAAAAAGCAATGGATCAAGACAAGGATAATGAACCTTGTCCCATCAATAATGAGCCTGATCCAGATGACCTCGATGCAAAAGAGAGTGACTTGGTAATTGGTAATATCAAAAGTCTTGGACAAAATGGTCTTCTGAGGTCTGAATCAATGGAGTATGAAGCTGGTTTTCCACAGACATATAGAGAATCTGATTCTCAACCAAATAGTTTTGAAGCAGAGCCCGATCCAGACGATGAAGAACTGCGCAGAATTCAAGATCCAGTTACCGCTGTTTGCAATCGTATTAAGAAGGCAATTCAGTCGCTGAGAGCTGAAGCTAATCCCAGCGAAGCTACAGCTGCTTTGCAAATGCTTTCTAAAATAATCAGGTGAACTACTATGTTCTTTGTTTAATTTCCCTTCTTAATCTTTTTATCAAACAACTGCCCTGAGCTGAGCTGTTATTTGTGGATATTTCCAGGAATGTCATTGAGCACCCTAATGAGATGAAGTTCAGGAAGCTACGCAAGGTAGGACCGTTACTTCTTTCTTTCTCCTTTTAGTTGAGGTCCTTTTAATGTCGAATCTTCTCTTTTATGGAATTATTGTATGTTGCAGGCGAATCCCTTGATCCAGAAGAACATTGCTGCTCACAAAGGTACTTGAAATACCTATGTTGAATTATGTGTGTTGTGAATGCTTATACGTAGAGAGATCAAATATTAAGTTAGTGCTGCTAGTGCCAACTGAACTTTCTACCGGTTGGATTTAACTCTTTCCCTGCGATGACAGCTGCAATGGAAATCCTGCAAGTGACAGGGTTTACGGAGGATGCTGTTCTCGATGACAGAGGGAACCGAGAAACTTATTTGACCCTGAAGCGGAATGACCCAGGATTGCTATGGCTTGCTAAATCATCCCTTGAGGCATCTATGTGAAGCTATTTTTTCAGGCTGAAAATTGTTACAGCCACAATGTAGGTGTTGGTTTGTTTATAATTCTCGTGTCTGGGAAGAGAACCATAAGTTCTGTGCACGCTCATGGACACTGACTTGCATTATGTAAATAAAAGTTTGGGTAAAGGTGCTGTGTGTTGTTGGGAATCACTCAATCAATGGTGACTGCGTTTCTTTACTAAGGAACTGTTGTTTACAGTAAATCCCAAGATAGAAATTGCTCGGGCATCAGTAAGCGACTGTAAACAGCATTGTCGTAAGTATTTCTATAATTGTCACGGTAAGAAACCCACTTATTCGGGTTGATGTAACCAGATATATAAGAAGAAGATGTAGAAATAGATAAGAATTTGGGGATTAGCTTCCCACTAGAACAATGGACTTGTCCCCAAGTTTGTAATTGCCGAGAAAGTCATCATCATCACTCATCAGTGTCGTTGCACATGAACACTCCTACTGGTTCATCCATTGACCTTGTTTCAGAGACGCTAGAACCTCTCATTGATAATCATGGAGAGTTCTGGTTTGTTCCCAAGTGGCATGCTTGGCGTCTTGAGCACATGATTTCTGCAGCCATCGCCACTATTGGTTAGCCTCCACTTGCAGGTGAGAGTTGAACCTTTTGTTCCTCCTCTACATTATGATTCTTGAAGAATTGGTCAACCCTTGTGAAACATTCCGTTTGGTCATTTCCTGCAAACCGGGAAATTTTCATGGGAGTCCCATGCGAGCAGGGCAGATGAGCGATCTTCCACTCCTCCCTTAGACCGCTCTCCCCTGTCTCTCTGCACCTACTCCAAATCTTGGAAATCCCTATCTATCAGTTCAAACAACAAAGGAAACAAATCCCATAACTACTGGTTGACTTGAGGTGAATCCTTTATTCCTATTCCAAACGGCATCGAATCAAAACATATTCCTAAGCAAGCAGCAGCAGCAGCTAACCCAGTCGTTGCATTGCATGGCTCATGGCCGTTGGTTGTCGCGTCATGTCCCGTCAGCTCATCATTTAAATCTCTATCTATAGACTATAGTCGAGCCAATTTGATTGTTGAATCACGTATTTAGAGCTTTCTACTCTAATTGAATCAGCCATTCTATATCTTATTTTCCCCTGCTCGCGTGTTTTTAGAAGATCTGGTAGTTGGGTTTGAAGGTAAAATACCTCGAGATACCACTTAAGTTTTTGTGAGATAGGTGTACCATTTAAATTTGAATAGGGCGTCGGGTATCACTGAACTCTATTATTTGTGAACCCGGTACTACTTAAGTTTAATGTTAAGTGCATTCCGTTAAAGTTAACAGAATATTCTTGGAATATTCCGTTTTCTAAATTTCTTAATTGGTCCTTCTACTTTTCTTATTGTAAAAAATCATTTTGACTTATGAAAAACATCAATTTTTATTATTTAATTGGTATCCTCTTTTGAAAACTTGATACCAAATTAATGGGTAAATTGCACGGTTGGTCACTCGGATTACTAAAAACATTCATGTTTGGTCACTACAAATATTTAATTCCGTTAGTGGTCACCAGAATTAGTTTGATGGTTCATATTTGGTCACTCTCTGTTAACTTCCGCCAGCCTCCGTTAACACCGTTAATTTTTTGCTGACGTGGCTAACAGAAGTGCTGAATCACCCAACTTAAACTATAAAAAGATACCCACCCGACCCGTGACCCAATCCTTCATCTTCTTCCTTTATTTGACCGGACAAAAAAAAAACCTAAAAGCTCATCAGAAGAATCTCAAGAAGCACAAATACTGAAATACCTCTCTGAGCTTGCCCTCACCGCCGCCAACTCCTCTTTCAAGTCCAACATCATCGCCTCCTCCAGCACCTCCTCCAAACCCAAATCCCTCTCCCGCCAAGTTTACTTTGCTTAATTAGTTTATTTTGCTTTTAGATAATTAGTCTCATTAAACCATTTTCACCTATAGTTTTCTCCATAGAATTGATAAATTATAAGGTTGTACCAGTCCCTGAGAGACGATACCCGGACTTTCCGGTTTACTACGAGATAGGATTAAAGCATATACGCTTTTGCCCTATCAAGTTTTTGGCGCCGTTTGCCACGCATTCTGGGGAGCCAGCTGTTACTTCAACCCCTATTCCTATACACTTACTCTGGAACAAGTGGAATAGGAAAAAGTGTCGGGGACTGCCATACCTTATTTTTGTTGATTTTTGTGAGTGAACTATTTTGATCTGGGTGTTAGTGTGCAGAAGAATTTTCAGGTTTATCCTCCTCGTTCATGCCTAGGAGGACGACTAGCAATTTACTACCACTAGATCCGGAGATCGAGAAGACCAGCCGTTAGAACAAGAAGCTGGTCAAGTTAGGGAAGCAGCCAACCACAACTCCTAGGCCTTCCCTAACCTAGAGAGGGCAGGCTTCGTCACCTGTCTTCCCTACACCACTGACACTGCCACCACCACCACGCGACATCGGGCCTATCGTCATGGCAGAGGATCGTTCGATCAGGGATCGTTTGAATCGAAGGACTGGAGTCCGAGCTTCATGTGTTGTCATTCCGGCTGGGGATGCAACCATGGAGATTACCCCAGCATTTATCAACATGATCACCAACGGGTATACTTTCTCAGGGGCTAGCACTGAGGATCCTCACGAACATCTTCGTCGATTCGCGAGCATATGTGAAATAATGAAGAGCCCAACTGTGTCTGATGATGCAATTCGTCTTCGGATGTTCTCATTCTCTCTTATAGGGAATGCATCACACTGGTTTCAGAATACCACGTTCCATCACGACATGGGCTCAGCTTGAGAAGGCCTTTATGGATAAATACTTCCCACCTGCCTTGGCAATGAAGATGCAAGAGGAAATTGTTACTTTTAAGCAGGCTGATGATGAGAGTCTGACTGAGGCATGGGAGCGCTATAAGGGGCTATTGATGAGATGCCCAAGCCGTGGTCTTGAAGATTGGAACGTGATCATTATTTTCTTCAATGGAATCAGAAGGGAGTTCCGGGATGCCCTGAATAATGCTTCTCGAAATGGTTTCACAAGCATGGAGGCACCAGCACATATGATCTGGCAGAGAAGATCTGTTTAGAAGTTACTGAATGGGGTAGTGGGACCAGTATTCGAAGAAGAGGAGGCTTGCATGAGATAGACAAAGTTGCGAGTCTAGAAGCCTGGATTCTAAGTTCGATGCACTCGAACGAAGGCTGGCCAAGATTGCTCTGGGTAGACAAGAGGAGGTTGCTTCATGTAAACTTTGCCAGGGTTCTCATCATAGGGATATGTGTCCACTGGGAGCTGCTCAGTTGGAAGATGTCCAATATATGAATATATCAATAATCCGCGAAGTCAAGGTCAGGGTGGTATGTATTCAAATACATACAACCCTCAATGGAGACATCACCCCAATATGTCATGGTCAAACAATAATCCAGCTGGTGTTCGAAACACCCCACCTCCTGGTTTTCAACAGCAGCAGCCTCAACCAGAGAAGAAGCCCCAGCTGGAGGAGTTGATTTTGGCTCATATGCAGAAAACATACAATAATTTCAAGGGTCTTGATCAATTTGTCACTCAACATCTAGCCATCAACAATAATATGAAATCATCTATGCTAGCTATGGAGAGGCAAATAGGCCAGATGGCTCAAACTTTAGCAAATATTCAAGGTAGGATTCCTGAGACTTTACCGGCAAATACTGAGAGAAATCCAAAGGATGCCATGGTTGTAGCAGTCACATTGAGGAGTGGGAAGGAGTTGGAGGATCCAGAGAGCAAGAAAAATCCAGTAGAAAAGGAGGACAAAGCAGTTGGAGAGGAAGAAAGTGCAAAAGCTGAAAAATCTGACTTGCACAGGCAAACTGCATTCAATCTGCCTGTGCATGAGCATTCTGTCCGTGCACCTCCAAAGGTGGAAAAATTCAAGAATGAAGAGGTAAAGCCTTATGAACCTCCCGCACCATTCCCTCAAAGGTTAATGAAACCCATGGAAGACCCAAACTTCAAGAAATTTGTGAATCTCTTCAAGCAACTTCAGATCAACATACCATTAGCAGAGGCACTTGAACAGATGCCTACATATGCTAAATTTTTAAAGGAGTTGCTGACTAAGAAGCGCAAATGGGATAATCTAGAGAAGGTAACCCTTACTTCTGAATGTAGTGCTGTGATTCAGAATAAATTACCAGAAAAGAGGGATGATCCGGGAAGCTTCACCATTCCATGTGTCATTGGAGGTACAGAGTTCAATAAATCACTTTGTGATCTTGGAGCAGGCATTAATTTGATGCAATACTCAGTCTACAAGAAATTGGGATTGAGAGATGTTCTTAAGCCTACTCGGATCACTCTCCAATTGGCTGATCGACCAGTAAAAATTCCAAAAGGAGTGGTGGAGAATGTATTGGTGAAGGTGGGAAAGTTCATTCTCCCAACAGATTTTGTGATTTTGGAGATGGAAGAAGATCGGAGAGTGCCTCTCATTCTTGGTAGACCTTTTCTAGCCACTGGCGATGCACTCATCGATGTCGGGTGAGGCAAGTTGACATTCCGAGTAGGTAAGGAGGAGAGAATTTTTAATGTCTTTCAAGTTTACCATAATCACGATGCATTTGATGACTTTGAAAGTGGAGTTTGAGAAAGGAAAAATTCCTCCTCCTGTGATAGTGTACCACCAGAAGAACTATCACGTGTCCTATCAGCTCAGATTCTGAAATCAAAGCAAGGACAGAAATCCTTGCCAGCACATCTCAAGTATAGATATTTGGGTAAGGATTTCAATCTTCCTGTTATTATTCCTTGTTCACTGACATTGAAACAGGAAGAGTACTTGCTTGAAGCGCTGCAGTACCACCTACGCCTCACTAAAGGGTCTAACATGCCAGCTAAGAAGGTCGTACCCAATTTTCGCACACCTGGTCCTGCAGAGGTGACTCATATGTTGGATGGAGGGTATGCGTTCTGTCATTGCTCGGGAGGGTATTTTGGATACGTTTCCATACCCATTGGTTGAAAGCTCCATGAACGTCAGGCTGAGGACGTTAAACAAGCGCTTCTTGGGATGCAACCCAAGGTGAGTTTTCTTTTCTTTATTTTTTCTTTTTTCTTGTGTCAAACCCGTGCATGTTTAGATTAGGAGTTGAACATTAGGGACAATGTTCCATCCTGAGTGTGGGGTGGTGAGTCTTAGTGTTATTTGTCCCTGTTTCAGGTGGCAAAAAAAATTCAAAAAAAAAAAAACTGACATTTGGGTTGTGCACAGCCAAACTGCATGCAGTCTACCTGTGCTGGTGCAGTATGCCTATGCTAACCTAATGGCTAAAAAACACCTAAAAATCAGAAAAATTAAAAA